ACAGGCAGCGAGAGACCCCAGGCTCAGAACTGCCTGGCGTCAGGCAGAGAGAGCCTCATTGGCAGGGTTTGCCCAGATACCAGGCCTGCAGAGGAGAGGACTTCATTAGAAGGGACATGGTCATTTTGCTACTGTTCATGAATCGTAATGTAAATATCTGTGTTTTCCAATGGTCTTAGGCTTGTGACCCACAGGTTGAGAACTGCTAGCAGGGTTGCAAGCCTAAGACCATCGGAAAACAGATATTTAAATTACGATTCACAACAGTAGCAAAATTACAGTTATGAAGTAGCAACGAAAATAATTTTATGGTTGGGGGTCACCACAACATGAGGAACTGTATTAAAGGGTTGTGGCATCAGAAAGGTTGAGAACCACTGCTCTAATACAATAGTTTTATATATATATATATATATATATATATATATATATATACACACATATATGAGATTTTTGCATAAAATGGGCTACATCTTAAAATGTATTAATTGAATTCCAAAGGGTTGCAAAAGAATGGCCCTTGATTTATACTAATGAAAAAAAGAAAGGAAAAAACCCACATATTTTCTGAACAGTAAGTTTTTGATAGGGAAATAGGGAGAATGATTCAAATCTCTCGAAGAAGAAAAATCTCTTTTTAGTTGTAGTTTTCAAACCCTCTACCCAATTTCTGTCAATTCAAATGGGAAATGAAATGATTGGACCAGAAGGGAAGCGAGAGGAGGAACAAGGGACTATGGTAGTCCACAAACTAGACAATTAGTTTGAGTCACTGAGCTGTGTAGCAGGGATAATCCTCTGTCGTAGTGGCTGCTTTTTCTCAAGTCAGCCCCACTGATATTTTTTTAAAATGATTTGTTTTTTTAAATATATTTTATTGATTTTTTACAGAAAGGAAGGGAGAGGGATAGAGAGTTAGAAAAATCGATCAGCTGCCTTCTGCACACTCCCTACTGGGGATGTGCCTGCAACCAAGGTACATGCCCTTGACCAGACTCGAACCTGGGACCCTTGAGTCCGTAGGCCGAGGCTCTCTCTATCCACAGAGCCAAATCGATCAGGGCAAGCCTCACCTGATTTTGCTGGTGTTCTGGGAATTAGCAAATCAGCACCACTCCTGGTGGGGAGACTTTCGGGGAGAGCTTTTTGGCCAAAGATGAAAGCACCTCTGTCCCTGACATCTGACTGTTTCTTCTCAACATGCAAGGAAGAATAGAAAATAACATACTTTGGTTTCTTTCCTTCTTTCTTTTTTTCATGCTAGCTTTGCTTCAACTCCATTTTTTTTCCCCCCCCAGGCTGCTTTTTAAAGGCATGAGTGTGTCCCCTCCACCCCACACACATCTTGCTTTTTGCATTGACATCACTGCTTGGTGGTGTCGCAAGTCACTGGCATGGAATGTGGGCTTTGAAAATGTGCTGCTGGAGGTGTGTAACTGCAATAGGCTGTGAGTGATTCACTGTGCCACGCGGCAGACTGAGGATTTAGAGTCTTTCATTTCATTTCCTCGTCTACAGCAGATTCTGTGTGATTTCTGTGGAAGTCACCACCTTTCAGATCCTCAGTTTTACCACTTGGCAAGACTAACGGTTACAAATAAGCGTGTTAAACTGAGCAAGCTGAAGTGCAAAAAAAAAAAAAAAAAAAAAAAAAGTAATGTGAAATCTAGGCAATTCCTTACATATTAGGTTTAGAAAAAATATCTATCTGAAACAGGAGGGAGGACATCTCATCAGCCCTACCTTTTGGCATTTGCTTTCACTTTCAATGGAATCAGACTGTCTGGGTTTAGGAAATGAAACTTAATAGGAATTCTCTTTCCCATTTTTATTCACCAGAGGGAAAGATAGAGTTGGTTTTGAATTAAATTCAGACTTCTAAGAGATATAACAGGCCGTTGTGTCGGGAAATTTAATATTGAAGTAACGGCAAAACAGTGTCTGTGCTATTTTGCTATATGGATGACAGGAAAAAAACACACACTAAAAAAATGTAATTTTAATGAAATGAAACTGAAAGATTGCTTTCAGAGTATTTAGTATTCTCAGATATTAGTTTGGACAATACAGGCCAAACTATACCAGCCCCGGGTCAGATTATCCAGTGGATGTCAGTAAGTTCTGTGTAAATTATTTATCTGTAAAAGGCAGATAGCACATTTGCTTCTTAAATTTAGGATCTGGGCTTTCTTATTTTCCCTCCTTTACATAAAATGAAGGAAAAAGAAGAAAAAAAAAAAGTCTCCCACCTCTAACCCTCTCCTATTTCACATGCCAGATCAATTAGTGGCTATTAAGAACCCATTTTTGCCCTGACCAGTTTGGCTCAATGGATAGAGCTTCGGCCTGTGGACTGAGGGTCCTGGGTTCCATTCCAGTCAAGGGCATGTACGTTGGTTGTGGGGCACATCCCCAGTGGGGGGTGTGCAGGAGACAGCTGGTCGATATTTCTCTCTCATCGATGTTTCTAGTTCTGTATCCCTCTCCCTCTCTGTAAAAAGTCAATAATATATATATATATATATATATATATATATATATATATATATATAACCCATTCTTTAAAAAAAGAAAAGAAAAAAGAACCTGTTCTAATGTGGTTAGTTAAGTTCTCTAATACCCACCCCCAGTTATCCAGTTAGTCACAGGCAGTAAGGTGGGGATTTGGTTAGTGGAGTCAGAGAAGTGGTAATCCGAGGCTATTGGCTAAAACTGGGTGATATACTGCGTGGAGAGCAGTTTTTCAAGGTGAGGATGATCTCCAGGAGAACTGTGGAAATCTGTTGTTTCCCAAAGGTGTCCTTTAGAACTTTCCCCTAACAGAGAATGCCCTTCAACCCCATGGATAGTCTCATCAACACACCGAACGTGCACCATCATTTCCTGTATGTAACAATGGCAGAGACAGCCAGATGTCTAGGGACCAGGTTTCCCATCAGCCCGTTTGTTAACATCGTCCAGGACCAATCTAATTTCTTTTCCCACTTGAGGCGTACAGCTGGAAGGGCCAGCGGTCTAAGCGTGGTGTCTACCTTGCAGTTGACAGGGTGCCTACAGACCTTTGCAGTTTGGCCAATGGTTGTTTCCTCAGGTCTACTGAAGGGACTATTGCACTAAGGGGATTTTGTTTTAAATGCTGGAAGCCAATGACTATGCTATTGAGAGAGCCTTGAACTGTGCAGAGAGTGAAGTGACCTTGACCTTGCCCCTTTCCATCCTCCTCCTGGCCTTGCCCCAGATACCTGCTCGGTCAGAGCAGTGCCACAATGATATTCTCTCCTCAGCCTCCCAGCTCCCAGCCCCCCAGCCTTCCAGACTTGGGTCCTTAGGGGTTCTCCAGGGAGGGAACAATCAGGGACATAGAGGGGTTCCTGTTTGCTCCCTCAGTTAAACATGTTAGAACAATGCCCATTGTCTTTACCTGTAGGTTGGGATTGGTGCAAAGGTTCCCCAAGCTGGAGGCCATTGGTTCTCTTCGGTTCATCTGCTCATATGCTGCCACCTAGTGGTCCCTTCTCCCTTAGCACGCTGTGTAAAATGGAGGAGATGTTATAGACAGTTCATAGGGTACTTGATCTCTTTTCTATTTTTCTCCCAGACCTAAGTCCTCCCCTTTGCTTACCTCTTTTTACAGCACATCCACAAAAAGCTTCATTGTTTTTTTTACTCCTGGGTCGGAAAATCTGGAAATGAAGAGCTGGCATAGGATCTTTTGAGAAACAGGGAATCCACTGACAAAGTTCCTGGTTGCTCCCGTTTCTCTCTTTTGACGGTGTGAAATGAGTGTTTCCGCAGGGCTATGATATAGTTGTTATAGAGGCGAGGAAGGCTGCTGCCAATCCAGCACTGCTCTGAATAGGCAGTTTCAGAGAAAAAATTTATTTTTTCCCTTTTTATTTTTCAGTTACAATTGACATTCAATATTATTCTGGATTAGCTTCAGATGTACAGCAGAGTGGTTAGACAAGCATGTGCTTTACAGAGTGGCCCCCGCCCCATATTTTAAGTATCCACCTGCCCCATATATAGCTATTATGATGTTATTGACTATATTCCCTATGCTGTAATTTACACAAGAGAAAATTTATTTGGCTGCTCAGTTGCCCATTTTCCAAATATTTCTTGTGCAGATAGTCAGGCAATCCTAACAGCTAATCCTTATTGAGGAGTTACTATGTGCCCATCATTCTTTTACTTACATTGTTTTACTTACATGTGTTTTTTCTTTTAATCGTCCTAATGACCTGCTGAGATGGAGTGTACCTCTTCTCAGGTGAGGAAATTGAAGCATAAAAGGTCACGTAACTTGCTCTGGGGAACATATGTAGCAAATGGGGAACTGGGGTTTATTCCCAGGCTGTCCAGACCCAGAGTTTATGTTCTTTTTTTTTAAAAATATATATTTTACTGATTTTTTTTTTTTTTTTACAGAGAGGAAGGGAGAAGGAGATTGGTTAGAAACATCAATCAGCCGCCTCCTGCATGCTCCCCACCAGGGATGTGCCCGCAAACAAGGCACATGCCCCTAACCGGAATTGAACCCGGGACCCTTCAGTCCTCAGGCCGATGCTCTACCCACCGAGCCAAACCCGTTAAAGCCAGAGTTTATGTTCTTAATAACTTTGTCTTGCTGCCTCTTCAAGGTACAGATAAACCTGAGTGCTAGGTTCAGGCAACAGGAAAAGGAACAGGACTGTGTATACACCAGCCCTCTTCAAAGTTCTTGCTTGGCCCCTACCTAGGACTGGCTCCCATACAGGACTCCATTGAGTAGTTAACTGAGGGGGAAAGGGAACTCTCCAATGTGCTGACTTCAAGGACTTTCTTCTAGCCCTGTCTCATTTCAGAAAGAGTCAGCACAAAAAAATAACCAAAGGAGGTAACCAAGGTAACTGAGAGGCCAAGCAGGCAGGCCTAGGCCCCAGAAATGCTCCTACCCCGAAAGACAACTGCAAGTCCCCTTCTCTCTCTCTGGGCTTTTGTTTCCTTCCTACTTGGTCTGGAGTTGTCGAGAATGCCCGGAACCAGCATTTTGATGCCATTGCAAAAGAAACTCAGCACCATCACACATGGCCAGGAACCAAGTAAGACATTTATTTGTGCTTTTCAAACAGAACAACCAGAGACTCCCTTCTCCAAAGGAAAAACCTTTGACAGGAGGGTTCCTTCTCTCTCACCTTCTCGGTGACAAGCCTGTGGAAAGGGCAGAAGTGGCGGTGTGGGCACGGTTAGAGACGGAATGAGCTGTGACAAGGCAGGTGTGGTTACAGGTCTGCTGAATATGCCTCTTCCCTCTTGCACTATTGATGGCTTACAGTTACTAACAGGTGTCAGAGGCGTGGGTACAGAGAAGAGTCCATGGTGTTGGTGGGTAGCAGAGGTGGGAAGTGGGAGCTTCTGATGATCAGTTTCTTTATAAAGGCAGGCGAGAGAGAAGGATATGTGTCCTACAGGAGGAAAAACACATACATTTGCATTCTGGTTTAAAATATAGGACGTATAAAAGGGCACAGAGTAAAAAGTGTCTCCCTGTCTCACAGTCATACTGTCCTTGGAGGCAACCAGCGTTAGCATTTTCTTTTTCCTTCCAGAGCATCTCATCTATCTATATAAAACCCTAATATGCAAATAGACCAAATGGCGGAATAACCAGCAGAAAGACTGGTCACTATGACACGTACTGACCACCAGGGGGCAGGTGCTCAATGCTGGAGCTGCCCCCACCCAGCCCCACGACAGTGTGGGTTGGGGCTGGCAAGTGGGTGGTACCAGGCCAAGGCAGGTGTGAGCAGGAAGGGCCCCAATCCCTGCCGGTAGCCCCATAGATCAGCCCTGATCACCAGTCAGGCCTAGGGACCTTAATTGTGCACGAATTTTGTGCACCAAGCCTCTAGTACATTTATAAGCAATTGGAAACTCCCTTTTTACATGAGTGGAGTAAGTTAGGCCTACCTTTCTTTGCTACTTTTTTCTCTCTCTTTAATTTACAAACATATCTTACAATGTATTCCATACTAATGGGGAGAGCTTCTTTTTTCTTTTTTACTGTTGCATAGTATTCAATTCTATGAATGTACTACAGTTATTTGGCTAGTTCTCTATTGAACATTTAGGTTATTTCCAATGGTTTGTTATTACCAACAAATAACTTTGTGTGACTAACATTTTGCATGCTGTAGGATAAACTCCTAGATGTGGAATTATTGGGTCAAAGATAAACAACTTTGTCATTAAATCAGTCAGTCAAACCTGTGAATCTGTGTAGATTTGAGAGAAAAATTCCAACCCTTCTACATTCATGGCCAGGAAATGGAGCCCTCGTTGGGAAAGCCATAAAGTCAAACCTGTGTGACAGGTCTGAGCTGGTGCTTTAGGCTGTATAAGGGCATCTGAAAGCAAGATCTATCCTTATGTGTTTTCCTAAAAGAATCCACTGCACACTAGAATGGAACTGGTCTGGAAGATTCCAACGACAGTTTGTATTACTGTCACACATGTCATCCCTCACCCCCAGCAATAAAATTGGCTCCCATTTCAGGCCGGAAGATGGAGCTAGTGATATCGTGCTAGCTTTGGGTGCCCTCTATCGCCATCCTAATTCTAAACAAAACCCATTCCCCGCCAAAGCAATTGCAACATTACCTTACCCAGAGCAAGCACTTACCCAACTGTTTTAAAATACGATGTGGTTCTTGCTCATAAAATGCAAGCCATATTCTTTATTACCCCAAAGTTAATTTATGTCCCCCAAGAATCCTCATACTGGGCTCCTAATTTTGGCCAATCGTATTGTAACACATGGGCATTTGGGGGAAGTGGTGCCATGCCTGGATTTGCAAGCTGGGATACAGACCCATGCTTATGGCACAGATTCCTAGTTGTCCTCAATATCCATTCTCCCCTTTTAATTTTATTAATGAACCCATCTTCCACTTTTAAGCTAGGTACAATAAAGCTTTCTTTGCAGCTTTGTCTTTCTGTCTGTATGCCTAAGTTCTGGCCAAAGGAAGGTAAGCAGAAGAGGTATGTGCAGCATCTGTGAAGTGTCCTTAAAAGGAGAAGGCGTGCCCTCTTATATTTCCTGCTGGGTAGGATACAGGCATGATAGTTGGAGCTGGAACACCCATCTTGGACCACGAGGTAATCTTAGGAATGTTGGCCACACGACCAAAACAAAACAATCACCACCACAACAAAAAAGCAAGGTACCTGGGACTCAGATACCTTGTATTATTTATGTCCGGGTTTTTACAGAAGAGAAAAATAAACTTCTATTTAATTAAACCAGTTATTTTGAGTTTTCTGTCCCATGTAGTTGAACTTAATCGTAACTGACACAGTCCCCTGATGATTTGGGCAAAACAACTCCAGAATCATCACCTTTCCATGGTGGGTTATGAGCACCACCTTTGGAAATGAAAAACAACTACTTCTCTGGCAACTCCCATCCTTCACAGAGAAACAAAGGTATGGCCAACACCGTCATCGGCCACAGTGTGGGTACCTGGGCTTCATCTGTCTTCTACTTCAAAGGCTGTGGTGAGGTACTCCTTTGGGACAATCCCAATGAGGCTGTTGAGCTCTCCTACCCACCAGCCATACACGTTATACTCCTGCAAAATGAAAAGAGAATGGTGTCAATTGAAATTTGGCCATGCTTCTGGTAATCTCTCATGGTGGTTACATGGGAGACTCTGTGGGGGTGGTTGACACCCTTGATGGGATTATTAAATGTTTAAAAAGTCATCTAGAGGAGGAAAGCAAACTGTTTTCATTTTGCCATCTTCCTGTCTACATTGTAAACTTCGCACATTTGATGCCTTGCTCAACTTAAAGAACACTTCCCTCCCTCCTTCTCTCCCTCCCTCCCTTCTTCTCTCCTTCCTTCCCTCCCCCTTCCTTCCTTCCTTCCTTCCTTCCTTCCTTCCTTCCTTCCTTCCTTCCTTCCTTCCTTCCTCCTTCCTTCCTCCCTCTCTTCTTCTCTTTCCTTCCCTCCCCCTTACTTCCTCCCTCCCTTCTTCTCTCCTTCCTTCCCTCTCCCTTTCTTCCTTCCTCCTTCCCTTCTTCTTTCCTTCCTTCCCTCTTCCTTCCTTATTTCCTTCCTTCCTTCCTTCCTTCCTTCCTTCCTTCCTTCCTTCCTTCCTTCCTTCCTTTTTCTTTCTTTTTACCGTAGTTGAATGGCTTCTTCAGAGAAATTTGAGCACATCCTAAAATGCCAGAACACTAAAGATACTCAGGGAGTCAGGTCATAGTTCAAATCAATATTTACCAAGCATCTTCTATGTGCAAAGTGCTGTCTGAGTTCCCATGAGATGTATAATGATGAATCAGAGCACTGCTTGCTCCCTGGGAGCTTACAGCAGAGAGTAATGGGCTTTGGAGTCAGACAGACTGGGATCTAATCCCCACGTGGTCATTGAGTAGCCATGTGACCTTAAGTTCCCCTAGCTTTAACTTCCTCTTCTGTAAGAGTAGGGAGACCATCACCCCTCCCCTATGTGGTGGGGATATAAGTGATGCCACAGAAGTGAAAACAATTCCAAGTCACTGATACATAGTAGGTGCTCCCAACATTAGAGGTGGGAGGTTGACAGGTACATTAATAATTACAGGCAGGCTAAGTGGTTGATCATCCACCCAGGAACCAAGAGGTCCCGGGTCAGAGCACATGCTTGGGTTGAAGTTCATGTGGTTGTTCTCCAGGGTTCTGTCCTGCCTTCTGACATGATGCACTTTCCTTGAGCCATCTTATATAACTGTGGTTTAGATACTAATATGTGTGTAAATGATTTCCAACCAGAATGGGCCCAGCCGAAACCGGTTTGGCTCAGTGGTAGAGCGTCGGTCTGCGGACTGAAAGGTCCCAGGTTCGATTCCGGTCAAGGGCATGTACCTTGGTTGCAGGCACATCCCCGGTAGGGGGTGTGCAAGAGGCAGCTGGTCGATGTTTCTCTCTCATTGATGTTTCTAGCTCTCTATCTCTCTCCCTTCCTCTCTGCAAGAAAAATCAATAAAATATATTTTAAAAAAAATGGGCCCAAAGAAATCCTTGTTAAATGAGGTTATGAGGGACTGAAAGGAGCAGCGGGGATTTGTACTCTCAGTTGAGCAGATTTAGTCACAGCTAACTACCAAGTATTCTCCTGGTGATGGAACTGGTTGTGGCAGGAACAGAGCAATTGCCTTTGGAGACATTTTCCCCAGATGGCTCTCTAAGTACCATGAAGACAGGCTCAAATGGCATAAGAAGTGAGACCCTTGAGTTGACCCTAAAAGGAGCAGAGAATTGTCTTTAAAAACCAGTCTCCAGCCCAGATCTAAAGGATGGGTTCCCAATACCCAAGTGTATGTCAAGCTGCTCAAACTAAATTTGATCCATCACTCTGCTTCTATTTCCACTCCCACTCCCAAAATTTCTATCCCTCCTGTTTCCTCTGTCTCAGTAAATGGTACCAGTAACTATGAGCTCAGTTACTCAAGCCAGAAACCCAGGAGTCATTTCCAATTTCACCCTCCCTTTCCCAATCAGCCCTTGAGTCCTGTCAATTCTCTTTCCAAAATGTTACTGGAATCCACCCACTTCTCTCCATTCCCACTGACAGTATTCTTGAGTCATGTCACAGTCGTCTCTCATGAGGACTATAGAAAATAACCTCCCAGTTGGTTTCTGTATCTCCAGTCTCATTCTCCTCCAATCTAGTCTTCGTTCTGCAGCCAGAATTCTTCTATTGTAAAATGTCACTGCTCTGCTCAAAACCTTAAAGTGGGTTCCCACTGCCTACTTATTGCCGACTTGTTAATAAGGTGGACAGAGCCCTTCATGTCCTGTTCCTGATCACTGCCCAGCACTTTCACTCAGCCCCTACGTCTGGCGGACCCTTAGTCCAACAGAACTAGTCTCAGCTGCTCCATGGCTACAGCCTCTCTCATCTTGGAGCCTTCCCTCTGCTGATTAGCCTCTATTTCCCTCTTCCCTTTCATGGGCTCAGTACTAAGCAGCTCTCAGATCTCAATTCCTGAGTCTCTCCAGGTTCTCTAGAATCCTCTCCCTGCCACTCTCTGATGGGGTGGGGGCCCTAGCCATGTGGTCCACAGGGCTGTGGCCTGTGCTTCCTTGGAAATGAGCGCATGATGCTAACTTGTATCGGTCTGCTTTTGTCTCCGTGGCAATCACTAGGTGGGGAGTTTTGTGAGAGCTGGGACCTTGTTGGTTTTCTTTGCTGTTGTATTCTCAGCACTCAGTGTGGTACCCAGCACAGAATGGGGCCAAAAAATACTTGTTAAATGAGGTTATGAAGGAATGAAGGGAAGCAGCGGGGATTTGTACTCTCAGTTGAGCAGATTTAGTTACAGTCAACTGCCAAATATTCTCCTGGGGATTGAACTGGTGGTGGCAGGAAGAGAGCAACTGCCTTTGGAGACATTTCGCCAAATGGCTCCCTAAGTACCGTGAAGACAGACTCAAATGGCATAAGAAGTGAGACCATTGAGTTGACCCTAAGAGGAACAGAGAATTATCTTTAAAAGTCAGTCTGAAATAAATGAATGTGTCTACCGCTTCTCCACACCAGACCTTATTCCCTTTCTCCCCAAGGCCAACTCCTCTACAGTCTGCACTGCCTTAAGGGAAATTACCCAGAATTCCTTAGCCTGTGCTGTTAGAACATTTTAAAAAATATATATATTTTATTGATTTTTTTTTTACAGAGAGGAAGAGAGAGGGATAGAGAGTTAGAAACATCAATGAGAGAGAATCATCGATACACCCCCACTGGGGATGTGTCCACAACCACAGTACATGCCCTTGACCGGAATCGAACCCGAGACCTTTCAGTCCGAAGGCGACGCTCTATCCACTGAGCCAAACCGGTCCTGGCTGTTAGAACATTTTTTAAAAAATATATTTTTATCGATTTCAGAGAGGAAGGAAGAGGGAGAGAGATAGAAACATCAATGATGACAGAGAGTCATTGATTGGCTACTTCCCACTGGGGACCAAGCCTGCAATCCAGGCATGTGACCTTGATCAGAATCAAACTTGGGACCCTTCAGTCCGTAGGCCGATGCTCTATCCACCGAGCCAAACTGGCTAGGGCTGAAAGGTCCCAGGTTCGATTCCGGTCAAGGGCATGTACATTTTAAAGCTCCTGTCGATATAAGTTATGTTCTTGTCCACCTCCCAACACTCAGGGCAGTTTCTACTATAAGTTTCCTTGTAGTATTGCCTTATGTTAGCATGTCACTGCCATGGACATGTCCATAGGGCCTTGTTGCGAAGGGGAAACACATCCTCTGTCGTCTCCTCTCATTGGAACTCATCAAAACTCTACTTTAGTTCTTCTGCTATCTCACAAATGGGGAGGGCATGATGTCTGACAGTCTTTTGAGGTGTGAAGAGTGGCCTTCTACCTACCAGATGCCGTCATCTTCATCACCAGAGGGGCTCAGAGTGATGAGGGGGCTTTCTCTCCCTAGGGGCTATTCACGACTCCTGACTGACATCCCCCTTTGAGCCTGATGCCAGGAGGAGGACCAGGCCTTGGGAAGGTCCACGTCAGCGCGAAGAGGGGGCAATCGGGAAGCAGATGCGGCGCGGGAGGACCCTGCTCTTGCTGGAGGGGAACACCGACCCTGCCGACCACAGATATGGCAGCCTCACCACAGTGGTGAGAACTGAAATGAGTGAAAGCAGCTCTCTGCCCTGCGGCACAGAGAAGCAGGCGGAAGTGTACGGAGAAGGGCACAGTCTCAGAGACCGTATGTATCCTGCCGTGGGAGCCTCGGAGCTTAATCAAAGCACCCACAGGCCTTGAGATCTGACTGTCTTCCCCAGATTTCATCCCTTGGCTGGATACCCAGGAAGGGCTGCGGGGCTGAGACGTATGAAGCATGGATGGAGCATTTCTAGCCTCCTCTCTCACTGTCCCCCACGGCCCCAGGCTTTGCTCCAGCCCAGCCGAAACACCACGAGGTATTTTAAAATAATTTCTACTTTGATGAATTGCTGGGGAGTCCACAATTGCTCATAATCAAAGGGAGAGAAATGCAAATGAGATCCGGCCGAGAACTATCACCACCAAACGTTTATTTCACTGCACAGTGCCAAAAAGAATTAAAACAACATTAAACTCACAGCAATCATGTTTAAGCCCTCGTTTCCAAGTGCCAAATTGCACCACTCTGGATCATACAGATGTTCGTTAATTATGCTAATTTTTATTAAACTATTAAAACGGAGAGAGAACTGGCTCAACCAGGCAGACCCCAGCTCCGAATGAACTCTGCTCTTGTCTAGAGGTGCGAATTTACTGCATTTTTATTAAGTTGCTGAGTCTTGGATTCGTTTTTTTGGGATGGCAGAGGGGCCCGAATTCTTGGGGTTCAACGTTTTAAATAAAGTTTGACTTCTTTGCCTAGATGTTTGGAAAGACAAGAAAAACGTGGAGACCTCCCCGGAAGACCTCAAATACTCGATACGGGAATATGCACCTACAAGTGACAATGTCAGGGGATCAGAATCACGAAGGCTCCCCATGCTTGTAACTCTGTAGACTGGTACACTGCGCATGGCAGCGCTAAGATGTTAATTATACAAAACTGTTCACAGAAGATG